TCGAAATTATGTGGAAGCCCTAGAGGAAGAACAGCAAATTTTAGTTAGGGCCTAGAATCTAGATGGTCGGAGTATGACTACTTTATTCGTTATATTTTTCCCTTGGCACTACAGCCCCAGTGGGCCTAGGCCTACCTCCATGAACTTCTCCGTTCACTTAGGTTTTTCTAGATCTTACACATTCGGCAGGACTCCTTGGGCGGGTCATCACTTCGTCGCAAACACACACAAACTGAACATCGATGCCCTGAGTGGGATTCGAACCCACGATCCCGGTTTCCAAGCGAGCAAACACAGTACATGCATAGACCGCACGACTACCGTGACCGGCCTTTTTTCGTTATTACTGAACCGATTTGTATTTTCCTGTGTGGGTGTTTTTTTTTCCGAAGTGCATTACGCTTTCAGTGATAGGCAGCTGTAACGGACGTATGAACATTTCTGTGCTCGTGATAGTGCGAAAATTAGGGAATTTGAATTTCGACGAACAGATATGGCAAAACATTTGACGGCCTTCATGGCGGCGGAATGCCGGGGTTGTTTCCCAGAATTATTGATTGCGATAAGGCAGTTTGTTGGTCGCCTTGCGATAATGGTAGATATCACTTATTGACTCGTACGCTCGCATTCTTCTCGATACATCGCGAACCGGCCAGTCATACTAGTATGTTTAAATGCTCATTTGCTTTTCTGAAGTACTATATTTTTAACCACCTCTGACATTTGAATGCCATTTCGAAAGATTTATGTCAAGCTACGAACATTTTACGAAACGTGTTTGAAGGAGATACTGAGGAGAACTGCATCATTTTGCTTATATGCGGTTTTCTCTCCGAGACTGGCGATAAACGGCCATCACTTTTCGTTATCTGTGCCATTTCCTGTTAGTGCAATGGCTGTTAGAAGGTACTAGAAGAAAGAAACTTCATTCTCATCCAGAGAAGGTTGGTCCTGTCTGGAGTTTGTTCCGTTTGTTGGCTTTGAAACGGTATCATGTTCACAAAGATACGAACTAGTCTGCTTGTAAGGGACACTCTGTTAACATTCAGTCTTAGTCGTATGTCTCAGGGGCCCGCTGAAGGAAACTTGGAGGAATCATAGAACGTTGGTAATTAGCCCTTTAGTTGCTGAGTTTTGAATTAAAAACTTCTTTTAAATACTTATAATTTCCGTGGTAACTTGTAATGTCTACTTTTGGAAAGCTGAAATTAGCTTTAACTGTTCGGAGTTTGTAGGCAAGGTTTCTTATCCACTGGTCATGTGAAATTCCAAATAAATATTATATTTCTAAGGGAGTTTTCTTGTTCTGGTACTTAGCACTGGTTAAGGGTAATGCAGTGGGTAGAGCGGAGAAAGTTCTGCTGTTGGCCTTTTCGAGGTACTGCTGTAATTTACAACTTTTTAGGCCCAATTACAGAAGACGATAATGTATTAGGGACAAGATGTGCTGTATTTTGAAGGGAAAGAACAGAGGCTGATTCCCATGGAATCCTTACAGAGACATGCATTTGAAGGACACTCAGAAATAAAGTTTTGACTCTGTACGATCGGCTGCTTCAGTGTGTTAATTATGTGTTGGGAACATCACGACTACTTTTAATGTAGGCTGCTTAATGAAAGTATGGGTCTGGTGGATAGCCCCCCCACCACCACCCAAAATTATGTCACGACAGCGCGTGTCACACTTTGATACCTTGACTTACAGAAAACTTGCAGGAGCTTGTTCGCTTCAGCTTAGGGGATTCTGTTCCTGGAGGAGGGCATGCATATGCCTGGTTATATTGGTCATTAAACCCCTATGTAAATTAATGCTATTTAGGATCTGGCAGCAGTGTAACGTGGCACAGCTGTACTGAAACATGGCGGCTGCATGTTCAACTCGTCCCCTTGGCTCTTCTCTGTGTTTTGGTCGTAGTGCATGACGGCACTTGTGCTGAATTTTGCCGGTCTCTCCTGATACAGGATGGAGAAAATTATGTTAAGTTTATGTGTGCATCAAGATTACGGTCTTGTGAAGTGAAGTGTGACACTGCCCAATTTGTTGGGTAACAACATTGTGGAGGAACCTGCTGCCCCGCTAGCAGACTACACGGCGTCACATGCTAGAAGACGGTAAACTTGATCCTGTATGAGACGTTACTTTACACAAATCCCCATGTAGATTGGGGTAGCAGGTTCCTCAGAAACGTCGGTACCGATGTACCAGATGACAGCGACACACCCCAGAAGAAGATTAACTTGACACCGAAGTGAGAACTTCAGACCAAATTGTCAAAGCCAAAGTCAGAATTAATTTACGACTAGCGGCTTACCGCTAATCAGTTCGTCTTGGCGTCAGGCCCTTTGAAACCCACGATCAGAGATTTTTTAAACTGAACTCTTGCGGTAATAGTCTTGTAACATCTTCTCTGACGAGGAGATGGGTTTGTCTCTAATGAATATGGTTGGCCTTTCGTCAAGTGTAAGACCACATTATCCAAGTCATATTGCTACTGACCCTCAGTCAGCCAGTAAGTCTTGGTGTCAAGCCCTATCCGGGGGTCATGACCAGATATTTATTACTCTTAACCACATTATCACGTGTTAGGTCCCCCTATATGCACTCGGCGCGGACCTCGTAGAAAACACCGCTTCCAGCAAATAATGTTGCAGTGTTACACAGTGGTTGCCTAGCAATGGCTGATTTATGCCTTCACAGTCCTGTCTTTCAGCAGACATAGCACATTATTTATCTGCGAATGTTGCTCATCTGTATGCCTATGTGCAATGCCGACATTGTGTCTTTGTGTAGAATAGTTAATTTAAATATAGTTCCCATACTACCGTCAGAAGTAGCGTTGGCCTGCTTTATTAAGCACCAGCCCATGAAGACGGTAGAGCGAGCATTCTTAACCCCAGCACTAGATGAAGAATCCCCATACTCGTTGGATAGGAAGCTTCGTGGGCCCAAGACCTGGCCTCAGCTCTGTGGAGAAACGACAGAACTCTTGCCTTTGCTGATACCCTGATACCGATGCGATGGTCATGTCCTCCAGCCTCAACGTAAACCTAGTCACTTGCAGAGCCACACTGACTCCCTCAGGCCATTTTGGAGCTTACGATCGAATTAGAGGATAAGTACGGGATCCTTGTGGCAACGTCATAATTTCATTTGGAACACCAAGACAATCCGTTAATCTAATTAAAACGTTTCCCGTCTTTTCCAGTTCACAGCGAACTAAATGGTGCTTTGCTTCTGTTCTTTTGTAACCTGTACTAGAAAGGCAAATAGAGCTAGGAGGGGTTGATAGAGAACGAATGAAGTCAGTTACTGTTAACACACAAGTCTGAGGGCAGCGGGTGTCCAGTTCTCACGCGACCTGTCTGCTTCGAGACGGTGTGCCGGTTTTAACAAGTAACACACGTTTTGTTGCGGTGAAATCGAAGTTTCGTGGAAATGATGGTTCACTGTGTGCTTTTTGAAATGGGAGAACAAATACCAAAGCCTCATGGTTTGCGCACACAAGCCAGAGACTTAGTTTTGAAGATGTTTGATTATTTTAAGTGGAAGCGTTCAACAGTGGGCCAACGTACGGAAATGCCAAGCCGTAGTTCTGAGGTGTGTGGCGTTGGTCCCACAACAGTGCAGCGAGGTGTTGCTGATGTTGATTGGGAGTGGGATAAAGACACGGTAATTAATAATGAAAGAACAATACATGTCTGTTCATAATTATTTATTTAATCGATTGCATGATATTCGTGATGGGGCAAAGCGCCAGGGGCTGAAGCTGACAACTTGCTTCCATCTGTTTCCGAGGTCAGTAATGGTGGAACTATGTCTCCATTTCCCCATTTATTTTCATGGTGTGTCGTTTAATTAATTAAGCACAGGCACAACTTTACACGATATTCGTAGCATTGTTGCGCAAGTCGTGACTAAGCACAAGCAGACTTGCAACCTCGCAACCTTATAAACCGTCATGTACCCACTGTCTTGTGTGTCTCTTGTCTGTCAGGAATGCGGTACAACTGTGGCGTTATTTCCAAAATAAAAACCTTCTTGTGGTGCCACGTGTATCGAATGGAACAGATTTTGGGTATGGAAGTACTTTCTGCACTTATGTTTCTAGGGAAAGTATTGCAGTTGGTCAAAATTATTACCTCTTTCATTTTGCGCACGTTTTTCATTATTTTGTGTCTGACATACGGATTTATTAATTTTCCGCATCGTCTTAATAGGATTATCGGNCTACTACTACTACTACTACTGTTGCTACTGCTACTACCACTACCACCACCACCACCAGCGCTGTCTAAAAAAAAAAGTTGCATTGTTTTGTGTTTTGTTTTTGCGTCTGTGTTTGTTTTATTTCTGTATTTGGTCACTTTTGTTTTATAATTGGCCTTCAGACTTGCGTATCACATAAATAAATAGAGAATTGATTTATCATCACTGCTGCTTCCGGTGATGTGAAAAATAGTCAGAATTATTGGGTTTTCGGAGTTAGTTCGTCGTACGGTATTGAAAAAACTAGAAAACACAACATTTCGGAAACTGGATCTATTTCCGTCCTCAGCTGAGGACTGGACCCAGTGATTGAGACACAAAAATACTGGGGAGTTGGACTTTTTCCATCGTCCGGAATTCATCCACCATCGTCGGAACCCTTTAGAATCTACCAATGATTGAGGTTGGCTCTTTCTAAGGGACCCAAGTGAGTAGGTGTACCCCGCCTCAACTGAGGCCGGAAACGTTATGTTTTCTATAGTTTATAGAATACCGGACAATGGAGAAACTCCGAAAACCCTTTAATTCCCAGAATTATACACCATCGTCAGAACGCTTTAAAATTACTTGAAAAATAGTCTTTGGTGAAGGCGTGGGGGTCGAGGGAGAATGTTACCTGCGATGTCTGTGACAGTAATGATTCACAGCAAGGTGAACACAGACAGGGTTTGGATGAAATTTCTGTGCAGTTAGCGCGTATGTATTGAGCACTGAGTCGTTTTGTTTGTTGCAGCTTCCAGTGGCGGACCCTTTCTTGGAGAAGGTCAGCATTTCCGACCTTGGTAAGTTAAGTCATCACGTCATGTTGTGAGTAGTTAAGTCAGAATGGGAAATAATGCTTCGTGTGATGCGATGGGATGTTTGAATATACGTCATACCATGTTGAACGTGTCTCGAAATTGCGTCAGTCGTGAATTTGAACTGATGCTTGAGAGGCGGTCGCTTCTTCTATCCCTTCCTATTCATCCAGCATTCATAGCCATCCAGTATGTAGACTGCCACAGAGGTGACGTGTTTAACTTGTATTCGGGAGGTACGCACTCCAAATCCCGGCTAGGAAACTGTTATTCCAATAGTTTCGTAGTTTTCTTACCAACATACAGGCTAACATGTCAGCCATTTCCTCCCACACGTCTAGATGCAAGTTCGTAGTAACGGAACAGGCGTTCTTTGCGCGTATCCGCTCCCATCCCTGTACCCGGCAGGCTACACTTTAAATTCTCTCCGAATATTTTAGCAAGGATGGAAGTCCCACACTAGAACTCGCATTTAAAATGTCGTTTTTTATTATATTGGCCAACGTAGACGTTTCTTTGCGTCAAGGCGGATAGGGAATTTCGTATGTACATTTTGAACAACCTGTTTCACGTACATAATTTTCCTTCTAATTTCGAGAAAGCTACCCCTGCGCTTAAGCAGAGGTAAGGCTCACAAATTCAAGGTCTTGAGCAGACAGCTTCATGCTCCGGCAGCCGAGTTGGGGGAGGCTTTAGATTGTTGTTTTAATAAACCACTTCCAACAATTTTGAATTTACACGTCGTTAGAAGCATAAACTTGAAAAATAAACGTTTTAGTAGATGTTGAGCGTCTTAGCCGCGTTTTAAGTGTTGCAGTTGGGCAAGAGCTGAGATTTGAAGTGTTCACGACGGATTAGTTCAGATTGTTGCAGTCTTGGTTATCACACCACGTGATTTTGTAGATGGTTACCAGCATTTTGGAGGAACCTGCCGCTTCTATATTTAGGGCACATATACCATGAAGATGTAGGCAGTAGGCTACGCTGAAACGTTGATAGTCACCTACGAGACCTGTGTCGTAACCCAGTAGACGGTAATGGGTAAAAAGATTGCCTCGCTTGTAACCTACATTGTGCTGTCTACTTTGGAATGCCTTGTGAAATATCCAGAGGGAATAATCAAAGTGCTCTGTTTTGACTTCAAATTGATCTGCAGGGAATTAACACAAAATTTTTAGTTCTTTCCCCAATACAGTGCCAAGCAGTAAATTACTGGTCATTGGTCTCAGAAGCCTCGCCTCCTTTCCTGCCTCAGTAATTCTCCGACCAAATGGAGATCGACATGTGGCATGGAACTCGTTTTAAGCATTTCAGGTGCGTTCGCAACGCTGCCTAGCGCTTGTTGAGTTGTTCCTGCCTTCTGTACGCATGAAACAACTTGAGAACCGCCGGACTGATTTTCATGAAATGTGGTATTTGAGAGTTTTACGAAAGTTGCAAAGTCGTTTAAATTTTCTCTCAGAGTGGACAGTTTTAACGTCCTGCCTTAATGTAATCGGGTCGGTACTTCCCCCTTACCAGCGTCCGTTTGGAACCTACCGTTACCATCTTCCCGTGGCAGTTACTCGACTTAGTGACAAAACGGCCTGCCTTAATGTAATCGGGTCGGTACTTCCCCCTTACCAGCGTCCCATCGGAACCTACCATTACCATCCTCCCGTCTGTACGTATCTTCCCGTGACAGTTACTTGACTCTGACATAGACTGTACGTGACACTGCCCGTTTCATGGAATTTGTGGGTCAGTGACAACGCGGAAAACAGCGTGACGTCTAGCGCCAAGAGGGTGCCGTACTGTGGCCAGCCCTCTGGGCTTGTTTTCATCGCCCATGTCAGTAATGTTGCCAAGTAACGACAGTCACTTGTTTTTGGCAGTGATGGCGTTTATTTTTGCACAGCCGTCAAGTAGGCAAGACGGTAGGTGTGTGTGGCTAAATTTAGCGTTGGCCGCTGCTCGGACAGAGCGCCGCACACGGCCTGTGCGCACTGCCGGGACCGTCGCAGTCATTGTTGAGCGCATTGTTGGGCTGTGTGTATGTTGACTATGACGTCACGATGCTGGGTCTGCACTACTACTCGAATATTGTGGGGCTTCGCCTTGAGTCCATCGAAGAAGACGACGAGGTGTACAGCTTGGACCAGATCAAGGAGTTCGAGGAAGTGAGTCGTGCGTGGAAGGAGGCCTTGGCAGAGCATCTCTTGCAAGGTATCGCGAGACTGTCTCATCGAACAGCTGTCCAGAAACCGGTCACCAGTCGTTAGTGGCCTGCAGTTACAGCAGGGGAGTCGCCTGGTAGTTGTGATCTTGTAGAAATACGTGAGATGTCAAACGGAATTCTTTACCAAGTTACTTTTTTACGATCTCGTGTGTCGTGATCGTTTTAACATGTCCTCCCGTCAGTTACTGCTCAGCAGCAGTACCACGTGGGCCTTAGTCTGTTGATTGCTATAGGTCAGCTGATTGGCTGGTGCGCCGAACTCGCGCGTTGAGTGTTAGTGGTTCGAAACCAGAGATCTGGCATTGAGTTCCGTGGGGCTCAGTTTGTATTTGTTCAGGTGGCCAGTGATTTGGGACATTTCACTGTTGACCAAGGAGTTATGCTCATATCTTAATAAGACGCATATATATATATTGCATTGGTATTAAGGACATGGGCCAGTCACAGTGGCCTCGCCGTCGAAGGCATGAACGGTCTTCCCTCGCTCGGACCCTGGGATCTTGGGTTCGAATCCCACTCAAGGCATAGATGTTTGGCGGGTGAATGCGTTCGTTATGTGTTTGTGTTATCCTGTGTTTAGGTAGAAGTCATGCGATGGGCTGATCCCCCGTTCAAGGAGTCCTACCGTCTGTGAAAAATGATTACGGATCTGAATAAGAGACCAGGGCCCTGAATGGGCTGGAAGAGCCATTGAAGAAAATCAGGGATATCAGGCACCATAATGAAGAAAAACTTAAAGTTCTGCTGCTTTCGTACGATCCTTCAGTGACGCTGAGGTGATAAACATGAATGACAGGGATGACACCGCAGTGAAAGAGGTCAAGTCTGTAATCGGCCAGTGGTGCCAAGAAGAATTTCAAGTGCTATTTCAGTGCCAGGTTCGGGACAAACAGACATCTGAGAAAAGGATTGTTAGAGGTCTCCAACATCGACGTTGGAAGTATGTCTGACATGATTATTATGCCGTTTGTGCTCGATTTCATTTTTTCGGAGACTTGTATGAGGCGGTAAAACATTCACACTTGCTGTTCTTGTATTATAACGCCATTCGTATGAACTACAGAACAAACTGAAGTATGTTAACAAGGGAAAGTTACGGGATTATGTCGTGGTTCCCCCTATCCTTGCACAAAATATTCCGAACTCTAATTATGCCCAGTTTTTATATTCTTTCGTCCGTAGGGTCTATATCAGAACATAGGTTGCCCTTCAAACCATGGATCCCAGATGCGTCCTCTGCACATTATGGCAAGTGTTTTACGTCGAAGTTTCGTCGCTTGGGATATGGCTGTCCACACCTGCCACTTCAGGGACAATTTCGCCACTAAGACACGAAAACAAGAAAAGACTAGTGCCGTACATGCGAATCACCAGTCAAAGGTCGATATAAATGTAATTCTCTTGGATCTTTGTGTCCCTATCGCAGGTCCTTAATTCACTTTTATCCTCTTGTATTCCATCACAGCATCACAGCTGTCTCTGAAATACGAACTTCTTAAATGACACATGGGTTCGTTCCCTTTTCAGGCCATGTTACCTTAGTGATTCGTGTATGATTTGATGGCGGCAAAGGACTGTGAACTTCTACAAGGATTGCACTCCACGATTTATTATACCTGTAAGGTTAGTGCACAGTTGGATGACATGAGAGGGGATGCCTGTGAGTGGTGAGGTGGGGAGTTGGTGGTTGAGCAGGACTGAACTGCGCTGGCTGTTCGCTGCTGACGACACGTTAAATGGGGCTAGTGTGCTGGAAGCGTTAGCTGGTTAAGGACTCAGCTACATTGGCCGTTCTCAACGGGCGGCACATCTTAACAGATCAGCGGTGTGCTGGAGAAATTGATCGGCTAAAGACTCAGGTACAATGGTAGCAGCTTGATATGTCAGATCGGCGGTGTGGTGGGGGTTTGAAGTGGTGTGTCGGCTGTTGTCTGTTTAAGGGACTGAGCTATGCTGGCCGTTCAAGACTGGAGACGCAGTAAATGAGACCAGAACTTGCAAACTTGACGCAATGTGACCTTAGTTGTTTCTGCTCACCGTACATAATGGTCATAAAACCCCTGACTGACTCGATCCATAGAGCGTTTTTCGCGAAAACGGAGTGCACAGCGTGAATTTGACGTTGACAGTGTAGTATGAGAGGCATATGCCTCGTCCTCCTCAGTAGGTACAGCTGGAAGAGGCTTGCAAGAATCCCCCCCCAACATCTTTCCGTGGTGACTGAAGGCACTGCCTTTTGGGATACGACACCATGTATTCTGATACATCGTTACTCTTCCCCCGTGAAGATGGAGGTAGCAGGTTCCTCCGGAGCGTTCTTAACAGTCTACCAGACTCCACGGCGTCGCACTCCAGAAGACAGTATAGTTAATGGTTTGTTGGATGATATAGTTCCTGCCTGTGTTTTTCTGCGAGATGAGTGTGAGGAAAGGTGTTGGACAAATTCAGGCTGATTAAGTTATCGGCTTTCTCCCACTTCTGATGTTATTCCAGTCATGTTTCGCCCAATTTTATGGACTACTCCATAGCCTTGCGGCGTTGTATGTCATGCTAAGAGTACGACGTATGCCAATCTTGCACTAAGCGTCTGCGTAAACAACGTGCTCGTGTTCCAAGTCTGCCTGACGGCTGGCATTTTAATGGTGGAGTCGACCTTGAGGACGTATGGGTTGCATCTGGTTTCGAACTAGGCACAGGCGGTAAACACATTAGCGAAGCAACGTTTTGGCCTGGGCTGAGTCATACAGCCATGTATGAGTACACTTCTTGGTCTTTTAACGGAGGTCATGTGGAACCCAGTGGTAAGGACTAAATACGTACAAATTGGAAATTTGTGTTATATTAGAAACATTTCTTTCTGTCTGAGAGGACAGTTTTACTTAGCAGTGTAGAAGTTTGTGGATCGCCTTTGTGGTCTAGTGATCCCGGGTTCGATTCCCGGCGCTACCAAATTTTCTAAGAAGTAGTGGGTCTGGAACGGGGTTTACTCAGCCTCATCAGAATAATTGAGGAGCTATTTCAAGGAAATAACGGCTCTGATCTAGAAAACCGAGATTAATGGCCGTGGGGATTCGTTGCCCTGACCACGCGACACCCTCTATCTGCAAAAGTTGGCACTAACTTGGCCGACAAGCGGCGGTCGCTGTAGTTTGCTTGCGGACTGCAGACCATGGAATGTAGAAGTTTGTATTTCATTTACTCGATTAGCATTTGATACGACTTCTTCAGCGAGGTATCAGTCTCTCTCTTGCAACGTTTGTTCCTATACATGACAGCATATGGAAATGTAGACACATGTCTGTCAGCTCTAAGGGCTGTGTAGCACAGATGTGAGGATGACCTTGAATGAAATATCAGAAAAAACTGCCGCTGTTATTTTTAAGATATCTCAGAATTTATCAAAAACAGTAGAGACAAACCACAACAATCTTTGAGCGGTAGTTTCTGCAACAAAGACTTTAACCAGGTATATTCCGAATACACATCAAACACGCAATCTGCTTAGTAACGGTGTGAAAGCGTTTTTATGTTATCCAGGAACATTTAGCTGTTTCACAAAAAAAGTAAAATCGTGACTCTCAAATATTGTGTGCTGTTGCAGTTGTCGTAAAATGATCATAAACCGATGTCAGCAATAGGACTAGCATAAAATGCCCTGTTTTTATATGAATCATGACAGCATCGCCACTTTTGAGGAACAGGAAACCAATAAATTGAATACGTTTCTTTGTGAGGTAACTCATTCAACCCCCACAAAGACGGAATTAGTGCACCACATATCAGAATTAATGAATTATGAGGTCACATCTCTTACACTGTTGAGCAGTGTTGAGGGCGTTCATATCGTACGTCTTTAGTAATCTTGAAATTAAGCTTTCAACGGTCGCTTTTCATTTCACACACAAACATTAACACTGTAATATGTAACAAATTGGTTGATTGGCTGTTTTAATCTTTTCTGTTTCACATTTTAATACCATTAACTGCTCATGGAGGACTGTACCAGAAAATTAGTTAATTTTAACTGTACTGTCATCTGGGATGTGACTCCGTGTAGTCTGGTAGGAGTTTCAAACGTTTGAAAGGAACTTACCGCCTCGTGCTTGTTTTCTTTTAATTGCTAGTGGGGTGGGACTAAGTCCCTTGTACTGCGGCCAATTCTGGCCTATTGTACCAGCCCCAGATGATAGGTGAGAGTGATTGTGGAGCAATTGGTGGAATGAAGATTGACAGGGGAAACCAAAGTACTGGGAGAAAGCCTTACCCAGTGCCGCTTTGTCCACCACAAATCCCACTTGACCAGACCCAAGATCAAACCCGGGCCACCGTAGTGGGAAGCCAGCAACTAACCGCTTGAGCTATGGCGCGGCCACTTGTGCTTGTTGCTGCTTGATTTACTCTTCAACCCTGAAGATCTCCAGTATTGCAGTTTTGGTTCCCCTCATGTATTGAGAATAGAATTAGTAACTTTCTAATGGTGATGTAATGATGTACATTGCTATATGATGGCACACCCTCTGAAATGTTTAGGCACAGTATACATACCCAGTTTTGTGTGAAACACAAGGCGGGATAGTGGAACTTGGAGCCAGTATGCTCATGATAATGGTTGTGGTTATGAATGAGACTGAATTATTGTTCGTGATTGAAATCAGCAATAGAGTATTTGTGCTAGAATGTCAGTGCACTGCTTCCTGCTGCTTGTGGGTTTATTATAGCAGTAGAAAATAGCTGGAAAGGAGCTTCTGCTACTACATATAAATACAATTAGTTTATTCCATTTTTAAAGTGATAATTTGGATGCTGTCCAACATTGCAGTATTTTTTTTAAGGATTCCTGTTCTCATTTTGTGACATGATGAAGAAGAGAGAACATGTTTACAAAACATTGTAATTCAGAAAATGCTGTGATTATGGACACTGTCCAATATATAAATCAAACCTATTGTTATACACCATTACAAGAAAAGTTTAGACTTGGCTAAAGTTATTTGCTTTGGCGTATTAGAAAATCTACTGATCCTCTTACTGTCTCAGCAAGTTCTATGATCAGTGCGATATCATGATATCAAAATGATTAGAATTTCCATGCAAGCAACAGTAACCAGTGTGGAATTGAAAAGGTGCCTTTTACAGGCATGAATAGTTCTCTGGGAGAAGCCATTGTCCTTTGTGCAGAATCATGCATGAGTGAGTGTGGTTTTTGGAGAACTGTTCAGAGCAAAATGTCTCTTCAGTCCCATGAAAGATGTTGCAGCCTTACAAGTAGGCCCCCAGCAAGAAATTCACATGTATTTCATAAATTAGGGAATCTCCTTAGTAGTTTAGTGGTATGAGCAATTGATTGGTCATCTACATACTTAGATCAAATGCTGAGCTAGGATGAAATACCTAACCCTAGAATGCATTGTAACCCTTAATTGCCAAATGCCAAAAATTTCAACTATTACAAAATTTGCTGTGTCTGACAGAATGTGACATCTGTTGGCATTTTATGTGAAATACATAATGAATAAACATCTAGGGATTTTTCTACGCATGTAGTTCTCATTATTTATTATTTACGCATGAAAGAACAACTCCGATAACTGAAACTGGAATTGGAAGGATTAAAACTGGCTCTGGTAGGTTAAAGCCTCATATTCTACTGGGAAATCCTGTTTTTTCAAACATGTTCCTAACAGCTGAGTATAACCATCCAGTCTCATTTGGAAGAAATCGTATTACCTGATCCTGGTATATGTTTCTTAGTTTGTTTAACATTGCTTTTCAGCTGCATACAGTCATCATCATCAGTAATCTGTCAGACGACAGGTCCACAGTCTCTTCCAAAACAGTTTCTCCACTTAATGCGATCTTCTGTTTTTGGAAAGAGACTATCCAGGAAAGGTGATAATGTGGTAGTTTTTCCATTTGCTTTCCACATCGCAGTACAACAGCCGTTCAAACCACTCTGGTCACGCCTGTTGCTATACGAACTTGAACCATCTCGAGCATCATTTGCTCTGTGCTTCAAGTCGCTGCTGATGACGCTGCTTCCGACATCAGTTTTTGGTGTCTCTCTTCGTCTGATGCCTACCCTTTGACCTGTCCAGCAAGGGAGGCCCTGCCAGTAGCTACGCTACCGCTGGTATAGCTCTCAGGGTCCTTGGCATACTCAAACCCCCTCACCACGATAAGGTGGGGACACCCTGCATACAGTATGTATCATTAAATGAAAGGATGGCTGTGAATGATGAATTGAGAAATTTAGAGAGGAAGAGAATTGTGGTCTGTCTTTGGCCTCCAGGTCAGGAATCAAACCTAGAACTTTCCATGTATGAAGTGACATTTCATACCTAATCCTAGTTTAATGAATTATAATGCTATAATTTCTTCATCTCATGCAGCTGAAGTAATATTTTTAAAACTAGATTAGATTAGTTCTAATTTTTATTTTATATATTTTAGTTTTGATTTATCTTTTAATTTGTATGCATTAGTGAATGTCCTGCCAAAGCTGTCGACAGTGATGTCACTGCTACCAAGTATGTGGCTCTCACTTAACAGTTTTGTGTTTAATTTAGTTCTTTTTTGGTTTGTTTGATTAGAAAGTTCTAACAGACAGTTTGCACATTGTGTTGCAGAGGAGGATGAGAGCCAGATCTTTGTCAAGTTCTTCAAGTTTCACAAGTGCTATGACCTGATTCCCACCAGTGCCAAGCTTGTTGTGTTTGATACGCAGCTACTTGTTAAGAAGGCTTTTTTTGCTCTTGTCTACAATGGTACGTGTGTTGAAATGTTACACATATTTTGCATGTCCATATCATTTTACCTGCTCTGTGGGTTTCTGTTAAAATGCGAAGCAGACGCTATGAAATATGAGTAGTCATTGCAAATTTTGTGTATACCTGTTGTAGACACCATATTCTTTTCTCAGCTATCATAAATATAATCTTCATATAGAAATAAGAAATATGGGTAAATAGAGAATGATGTGTGCAGTATCTGAGAGATAAATGACTATAAGCCACAGGCTTAGGTGAATTTGTATTAGGTAGCTGGCCTTAATTCCATATGCCATTTGGCACCTTTACATCCTAATTATTCTGATTTAATTAATATGGGTTACAGATATGATAACCACTATATAAATGCAAGAGTAAGGATTCTATTTTTGTAACAGTTACTTAAGTGCAAATGTGCTTGTGAGGATAACTGAGGAGCTGTTTCAAGGAAATAGCGGCTCTGGTTTAGAAAACCAATATTAATGGCCGTTGGGATCCGTTGCACTGACCACGCGACACCCGCAGAAGTTGGCGCCAACTTCACCGACAAGCAGCGGTCACTTTGTCGGTAGAGTTCGCTTGCAGACTACAGGTCATGGAGTGTTTTTTTTTTGGGGGGGGGTGAGTGTTCAGGGTTCTGGTGACAAAGTTTATGAAGATGAAATTTGCATCAGGGCAGTAGAAATAAAAAAATTCAGAATTATGGTTTATAATATGCTTTACATTATATAGAGTCCTTGACCCTTTTATCCTGCAGTGCAGCATAGGAATCTCTCTGGATAAGGTGACCCTTCACATTTTTATTTCCGTATTAAGAGATAGAACATGTGTACTATGTATGTATGCAGTACATGCCCTCCAAATATGTACCCAGAAACTGGCATAGTACATATATGAGTGAACCCCAGTTGCAATTGTTTGAATTCCGCAGTATCTCCAGGTTTTTAAATCTAATACTGGAAAAAAATTCATACTTTCATGGAACTATATGCCCTGTTAGCAAGGGCAGACTACCGCTAATGCTTCATTGTGAGTTAGCTGAATAACCAGTTAGTGTCTCATATTTGTGAAGGGGTTAAAGCTTCAAAATATTTAAAATAAATAAAATGAATGATGGTGAGAAACAGAACAATGGTGGTTAGAAGGATTAAACAGAATTAAGAAACTGCACACTGTTTATATTTTGTGTATATATATTCAAAGCTCACACTTGAGCATTTATTGACCATCTTATCAAAAACAGTAGATTGAAGGTAATGTATAAAACAGAGTGAAACCAGCATTTAATGAATCTTCGGGGAGCAGTGGATTTGAACATTAAATCGAGGATATCTTAAAAGGAAGAGAGATAACAGTCAGACTGTTGACTTGGGATCATTCAGATTAAGATAGATGTTAAATAAATGAACATTCATTAATATGCTGGCCGCTTTCAAGAAGAATGTCCATACTTGTGATGACTAATGCACTGAAAGAGCAGAGTAATTTTTTTTGTTTACAAACTGTGTGGTAATAGTGCTTGGTAGTATTACACATTTACTCATATAATTTCCTCCCTTTATATTATTTATATTTATTATAATTGTAGACATCTTAAAAAAAGCACAAGAAGCCCAACATATGAAGCTGAAACTAACCACTCACCCACATGTACAGTTGAGGTTTCAGAATGCCCTGGACTGCATATTCACCAGTATGGTTTGAAGATAGGGATGAGATTAGATTGTATCATGTTATACTACACGTATGTTACATTAAAAAGGGTGGGATGAAAGACCCTTGTACTGTGACTGTCTTTATCTGATTAATCTTCACTCTGAATAAAGTGCAGTGCTTTGCTTTATGGGAGTCTTTATGATAGCCACGTGGACTCACAAAATATGCTTCTGAGTGGTGATGCCTGATTTCCACAACAGGCTCTCAGTTGCATAATATTTGTGATGCATATACCTTGTGCTAACAGGATTACCCATTAGCACCAGTTTGAATAAGGGTCCTTTTAAGTGCCAGTGCCCTGTAATTGAACCTGTCACAAGTTATAAACTGATCACTATTTAATCATTATACAGGAGTTCATGAGTTCTGGTCTGTGATGGTCCCATGTTTGTGTCCAGTAGTGGACTTCCACATTTGAAATGCCTCGACATCCAACCCCTTGTGACATGACCAGAAGCTGGCATTGAGATGACATCCCATTTCAGAGCGTATAAATGTATTTTGGTCATTGAGTATGGTAGAGATTAACTTTACCTTTCTAGAGAAAAAATAAATTTTGCTTCCTTCAAGATCTCAATACACAGTCTGGTATGATTGTCAGGGTGATGAATTGAATTTACTTTGTTATCTTTGGTAGCAGGTTAGAATGTATCGAGCATGTCCACCCTGCAAAGAACTGATGGAAATGTGGAAAACCACAAAACCACAGTATTTCATTTTGTTTCTTGTAAGGATACTTCACTGCCATATATGCATGTAGCTTACAAGAATATCAAGTTTTCTTTTTGTATAGAGCAAGATATTTGAGGTTCAGCATGACAGTGCATTAAGTATATATTTATTTCAGTTTGATAAGAATAACTGGTAACTCATTGTGGGTTAGCTTATCCATTTTGTATGATGTGAACACATTTTATAGGGATCTTTCTTTTGTGTGTGTGCGTGCGCGTGCACATGCCTGTGTTCACATTTCTGCACCTGCAGGAAAGAGATATGTGAGAAGTACCAGCATGCCGTTATAAGGACAGAACCATTGAGAGATAATATAATTTAGAAGTGTGTGATATGACAGGTGTGAGGGCAGCACCTCTGTGGGACTCGAAGAGACAACAGTTTGTTGGGATGCTGACAATAACAGACTTCATAAAGATCCTGCAGATGTACTACACATCACCCTCTGTCACAATGGAGGAGCTGGAGGAACACAAGTTAGACACTTGGCGCAGTGAGTACTCTGAATTTCAACAGTTTTTGTTTTAGGTATAAGTGAAAGATGCCACCTCATTCAGGAATTGAACTTCAGTCTCTCAGTATTAATGTGAACTTCATGCTACTTTTTGCTGTAGTACCTTTCACTCCTTTTACCTTATATAAAGTATGGTACTTGTGGCATAAGATTTTCCAGACAGTCATGGAGATAAGTTGAAACTCATGTTTCAATTTTTTGCTGGGCTGATTTACTAGCATTTTGGAGAAATATTGGTCTCTGTCTTTGGGGATGTTTACTGACAGTGAACCTTTACTCATATTTATGATTGTATGCCCTAAATCACAATATGCCTCCCACAAACTGCTTTGGGGTAGTGGATAAAGTGTAAGTAATGGAATGCAAGTTCAAGTTACACAGTTAGTAATCTAAAAGTACCTGCACTTGCTAAAGATTAGCGGCAAAGATGAACAAAGGAACAAAACCATAAATGATACAAACTCCGTCCCAAGTGCAAACAATATATATGTCTTTCTTGCTCTCTTCTACACTACATGTTTCGGCCTCTAACGGCCATCATCAGGTGTGGTGGCAGCAACGTAAGAG